TTAATGTCTGCACAGGTAAGGCACACCTGAACCAGGTATGGCACACCTGAGACAGGTATGGTACACCTGGGCCCGTCATGCGCACCCGCCCGAAATCACCGGGCAGAGAGAACTCGGTGTCTGTGACAGGTGTGACACAGATAAAACACACCTGGCACAGGTAATACAGGTGTGACACAGGTGTGACACAGGTAAAACACACCTGGGACAGGTAATACAGATGTGACACAGGTAAAACACAGGTAAAACACACCTGGCACAGGTGTGACACAGGTGTGATACAGACGTGACACAGGTGTGGCACAGGTAGAACACACCTGGCACAGGTGACACAGGTGTGACACAGGTGCGATACAGATGTGACACAGGTGTGACACAGGTAATACAGGTGTGACACAGGTGTGGCACAGGTAAAACACACCTGGCACAGGTAATACAGGTGTGACACAGGTGTGATACAGATAATACAGGTGTGAGACAGGTGTGACACAGGTGTGCATAGATGTGATACAGGTGTGATACAGGTGTGACACAGGTGTGACACAGGTATGATACAGGTGTGCCACGGGTGTGACACAGGTGTGACACAGGTGTGACACAGGTGTGCACAGGTGTGGCACAGATGTGATACAGGTGTGCACAGGTGTGCACAGGTGTGGCACAGATGTGATACAGGTGTGCACAGGTGTGACACAGGTATGATACAGGTGTGCACAGGTGTGCACAGGTGTGGCACAGATGTGATACAGGTGTGCACAGGTGTGGCACAGGTGTGGCACAGATGTGATACAGGTGTGCACAGGTGTGCACAGGTGTGGCACAGGTATGATACAGGTGTGCACAGGTGTGCACAGGTGTGACACAGGTGTGATCCAGATGTGCCACGGGTGTGACACAGGTGTGACACAGGTAAAACACACCTGTCCCAGGTAATACAGATGTGACACAGGTAAAACACCTGGCACAGGTATGATACAGGTGTGCCACGGGTGTGACACAGGTGTGACACAGGTAAAACACACCTGTCCCAGGTAATACAGATGTGACACAGGTAAAACACCTGGCAC